GACTAATCCGCAACCAAGCGTCCCCAAATAGATGCCATGAGGCACGCTGGCTAATACGTTACAATGGTGTGCAGTGTGGGTGGCGTGGCGTGCGGAAGGGAAAGAAAAAGCCCGATAAAGGAATACATGAACACCCACGAGAGGAAGAAATTAAGATATTGACGAACTTCCTCGTGTCATGGAAGTGGTCTTCCCACATTTCCACGTTCCAGGACTGAGAACGTGGCTATGTCGTTCATCATCTTTGTGTAGTTCTCTGTACGCTTTTTTCCGACCCTGAACGCAACGATGTAGGAGAGAATCAGGAAGACAAGTGAAGAGGGTGTGTAACCTGGGTGGCGTGAAGAACTTAATGGAATGAAAAAACTCGACATACTAATCCAAGAACACATATTAAGGGAAGAAATTAAGATTTTGACGCCTGCCATTTGAACTCCGGCTCTTCACGTTATTGGTCAACAGCCATCGCACCTTCTACGTTCCTGAACTGAAAACATGGTGTACATTATCTTCATGCATTTCTCCGACCACGAGCGCAGCTGCATAGTAGAGACGCGAGTAGGGTGTGCAGCGTAGGTGGCGTGAAGAACGGAATGCTATGAAAAAACTCGATAGACGAATACATGAACACATATGAAGGGAAGAAATTAAGAATTTGACGCCTGCCGATTGAACTCCTTCGCTTCAGGTAATTGGTCAACAGCTTTCGCACTTTCTACGTTCCTGAAATGAAAACGTGGTGTACATCATTTTCATGCATTTCTCCGACCACGAGCAAAGCTGCATAGCAGAGAAGCGAGTAGGGTGTGCAGCGTCGGTACTGTGAAGAACGGAATGGAAAGAAAAATATTCGACAGTCGAGTACATGAACACCTATAAAGTGAAGAAATTAAGATTTTGAAGCCTGCCGATTTAACTCCACTACGTCACGCAATTGATCAACACCCTTCGCCCTTCCTACGATCCAAAACTGAAAACATGGTGGCTATGTTGTACACCATCTTCGTGCATATTTCTCCGACCACGAGCGCAGCTGCATGGTAGAGAAGCAAGGAGAGTGTTCAGCGTGGGAGGCTTGAACAAGAAAATGAAATGAAGAAAACTCGATAAATGAATAAATGAACACATATGAAGCGCAGAAATTAAGATTTTGACGCCTGCCAATTGAACTCCACTACGTCACGCAATTGATCAACAGCCTTCGCCCTTTCCACGATCCAGAACTGAAACCATGGTGGCAATGTTGTACATCATATTCGTGCATTATTCTGCACCCCTTTCTCCGACCACGAGTGAAGCTGTATTGTAGAGAAGCGAGGGGTGCGGTGAAGAACGGAATGGGAAGAAAAATCTTGACAGACGAGTACATGAACACATGTAAGGGAAAGAAATTCAGATTTTGACGCCTACCGATTGAACACGACACATATTTGGGCCAGTCTTCTCACTTTCTACGATCCAGAGCTGAAAACATGGTGGCAATGTTCTACACCATCTTCGTGCATATTTCTCCGACCACGAGCGCAGCTGCATGGCAGAGAAGCGAGGAGGGCGGGCGTGCAGCGCGGGTAGGAACAAAGACTGCGTGGGCGGCGGCGGGGCGCTTCCTTAAGACAATGCCCCCCGCCCCGGGAGACAAAGGCGGCGCGCGGCGCGGAAGAAAGGCGAACGCAAGGGGCTGCTGCGTTCAGCCGAGACGCCGCTGCGGGGCGCTACTACTTGCGCGCCTACGCTCCTCCGAGGGCTGCCGACCTAAGCTACGCTTTCGGGAAAGGGAGTGGGCGATTGGCGAAACAGAGAGGCTTCCAAACCCGCTCCCATGGACCTGAGTCTATTCTACGTGTGTGTGTGTGTTGATTCATTGACAATTTCGTGTTTCCGGACGTTGTTCGTTAGGTCCCCGTAAGGTGAATGTGCATGTTTATTACGCGCTGTGGTTTGATTCATTGACAATTTTCGTGTTTCCGGACGTTGTTCGTTGTCCCGTAAGTGCAAGTTGCATGTTTTTTATCACGTCATTGTGGTCTTAACTCCATTGGATGGTGAAATTCGCGCGCGAAAACAACACGTTGTCTTTCCCAGTGCTCTTTCCCCAGCTCGGTTATCTCCCACCTGGCGCCTGCCACCCCCCCCCCCCCCAGCTGGAGCGAGCTCTAAGTTTCCGACATATGTGGTAGTGTAGTGCATGTAAGTGGTGAAGATAGGAGAAAGCAGAGGAAGGGAAGATCGCGCGCGGTCCGTGGCTCGTTTGTTAGGGTACTTCTGTGACCGTCGCCTGGTATTGATCGGGGAAACCCCGGAAAACTACCGATCAGTTCAACCGTTCGTTAGATTTCTCCTCCAGACAGCGGCTGAATTCGACCTAGCATCGTAGTTAGTGTCTCAACTCCTACCATCGGCAGGACACAAACCTGGTCGCGACAATACCCAGCAGTGACGTCAGTTAATTGCCTGAGCCACCTATGGTGCAATGCAACTATGGTTCAATACTCGTGTCCTAAAATGCCGATCATTATTTTTTCCTTCCTTACCCAGAAACGTAAGTGCTAAGATGCGCCGAAGGGCTACATAGGCGTACGTAGATGTATGAAATGACCCTACGTGGTTCGGCGATACTGATCCAAAGAACAAAGGTAAATTTGGAGTAAAGTCTGAGAAGGCTCGGGGAGTATCCCGTTGAGATAGAAATTCGACAGGAATCTTGTGTACTACGCAAGGGAGAACACAAATAATTGTCGAATTGACGGATTTGTGCATCATGTAGTTCCTTTCCGTGCAACCACAACGGTATTTTACTGTTTCTTTACACTTGAAGTTGGGGAACCTTGGAACTTGGCTTATTCTAGCTCTGCCTCGCGGGATATATGAATCCAACTAAATGTAGTTTAAAAAGCTGTCAATAGTGATCTATATGTAGTTTATATGATTATGTTCTACTTGTAACTATCTTCTACGTACTCGTACATACGCCAGACCAAATTCTAACCCGTTCACGCTTCAAAAAAATTAAGAACAGAAAAATTACTCTAACACACACAGGAGCACGGTAACGCAATGTGGTGAAGTACGAGGAGGACATATCTCTGGAGGCGGCGGCTCGCCTCGAGTCTGGGGGCGAAACAAAAGACTCTCGCGGAGGCGTTTCCGGTGCTGGCGAGCGGAAGTTCTTCCTGCGCATTCCACCTCTGCAGTGGCCGCCCCCGCACGCGGAAGTGCGGCTTCCGGCGGGATGAAAAACAGCCGCACCCACGTACTTACACTACAAGGCGACGCGCGCTCTGTAGAGCTGTAGCCCAGAGGTACAGCATTCCTGGGAGGAAACGGACCGGAATAAACGGATTGTACATTCAACATGATGAGTTCAACTGCAGGGGTTGCCTAGATAAGCTAGACAAGGCTCCGGGAGAGATGGCTAAGGGCATCAATTGATGGCACTGACGGGGAGGTCCTAGGTTCGAGTCCCGACGGTGGCAGGGTTTTCGACTCTACTAGCCAGCTAGGTCGAGTTCAGTTGCTATCCGGAGCAGAATTCTAGAGGCCGACTGCTTTGATCGGTAGTTTTCCGTGGTTTCTGTGATCAATACAAGGCGAATGCCGTAGCAGTACCCCAACAAACGGGCCACGGAGCGCGCGCGATCTTTCCTTTCTCTTCCTTGTTATGTCCTCACCCCTCATTACACACACCTACACGTACACTACACTGTAATTCACCTAATTGACGGTAAGTCGCGGATCTCACCATTCGGCGCGGGAAGATCTACACCACCTCTACACCAAAACATGCACTATACTTACTGTACTAATGACCTTGGCAGTTAATGCGAGCAGTTGAATTGCTACTGAGTCAATAAAAGCTAGACAAGAAATAGCAAGCCTCCCGTTTTTTTTGCATGTTTCACTTTCCACTGATCGTCCCGTTATTCACCACAATTGAGATATTTACATTTACGAATAGGGGGAGGCATACTGGGACTGGTGTGGTGAATCTTTATACTTCTCCAGACCTTCAAGTGAGATTATATTATGAAACAATGACGTAAGAATACGTATTAATACTGATATTACTACATGATGATATTACTACATGAGCCAGAAAGGTGGCAAGTGAGCTGTATACAGTTCTGTATCTACTGCTAATGAAATCTAATAGAAGTGGAACCTTTACAATGAATCCTTATATGGCCGCTGACTCAGAGAGTATGCCAACGCCATCGAGAGACAGGTGGTATTGGCCAAGAAGTGTCTGACAGCATACAGGTCAAGTTTGGATCCAATGTATTACGTTAGCATCAATGTGTAGTTCTTGGCCTTACTTTTTCTCAGATCATATCTGATTCAGTTTTCATAGTGTACTTCAATTTACTAATCTGATTATTTCAAGGAAGGAAAGCATGTGTGATTTACCACGATGACCCCAAGGATCGTTTCGGCCATGTAAATATAATCGAACGAAACTTTCAAAAGAATAATGGCAAATGATTCATTACGTCACAATGTTTTGTTTGCAAACTTCATTATGATTGGTTAAGAACGTATACTATAATGACGCTTTAGGTACCATAATGAATATTATTAGAAAGCGAGCTGAAATTGCTATAACAAAGCTTGTAGACGTATAATGATGTGGGTGCATATTGTTCATTTATAATAAGTTGCTAATTAAATTTCATTCCACATCCCGTCATTTTGGAATGCCATATTGGTGTTTCTTTATCAAAATAAAAACTTCTTACATTCTCTGTTTTCTCGTTTTTTCAGACTCGCCCCAAGAAGAAAATTTGCCGGTTACATTCCCTCACGGCAGGCCTTTCCAACTTGACCTCCAGTGGGCAGATGGCTGAGACACAACAAGGAAGAAAGCAAGAGGAAGCGTCATGATAGGACACTGACACTAGACGATTTCTAGCGTCGAGTCCTTGTGGAACACCTTCCCTGCGTAGGAACTTCGTAGAAACCCTGCACTTACTATCTGTACTGTGTAAAAGTCCGGCGTCGCAAGCCGAATTGCTTTACCGCGTTCCGTGCAATCACGGAGATTATGCAACTCGAGACATCGTAGGTTCCAGAGTGGGTGATCGTCTGGGAACCCCGGGGATCAAAAGGCTCCGAGCCTCTGGCTGATGGCATAACAACTGATGATTACTGACTAGGTTAACGGAGAATTACTCACCTTTTACGCCAGAACGTTGTTGTAGACCATTACGAGAAATGTAACAGAGTTGTTTTTAAAAAGTCTAAATATGCTTGTAACAGAGTATTGTATCTCAGCTTCTGTGTCAATGGCTCCTATCTCGTACAGAGTTTTTGATCAATTTCCCCGATCCTTTAAACAAATGTTGAGATGGCTCCTAGTTTTGCTTCTGGATATAAATTTTGTTTCACCATCTTCCCGTTTTCTTGAAGTCAATGGAAAATGGAGATATTCAAATAATCGTGCTCCGTGTTCGCGCGACTGTAAGTCGATTCGGTCACGAAGGAGACGATAAGATATAATAGCCAAAATCTGTGGTTCATTTCTCTTTGCCAAATACATAGTTTTTAATAAACATGAGCGAATATATTCTTATCGTTTCTTGCCAAAACCTCTCGTTGGTGTCTGTATTCATAATTTAGGAAAGAGATCTCAGAAGTCAAGAATACGAGCACAGATTGCACTTCACTCCGTGGTTCGTCACACAGCTGTATTTGGTTTATGAGGTTAAATAAATCAATTTTTTTAAAAATAATAAAAATGTATCTTGGTTTGGGGCGCCAGATGGAGGAGAGAGTCGTGGCGTAGGGCAAGCACATACACCTTCCATCGATGGGTCTCTGGTTTATGCGCCAGTCAATCCACGAGTACGTCACATAGCGGGTTCGCGGAGATTTTTCACAAAGTACTCCCGTTTCTCTTACCCTTCAATTTTACTTCATTTCATATTATATGAAAAATATCCATTGACCAAAAGCCAACCATTAAACCTATTCATTCCATGTTCGCTCATTAAGGCTTAGGTACTGATGATTCTTAAAACATATGGCCGTAGACAGAGGGAAATTTCTCCCAGAGGGGGCATGGACTAATCTCACGACACGTATGGTAGTGTAGTGGATGAAAATGTGTGTAAGGGTAATAAGACAAGCAAAGAAGACGCATGGTCACCCGGTTGTTAGGGTACTACTTCTTCAGCATTCGCCTGATGTTGATAGGAGAAACCAAGGAAAACTACCCATCGGACCAGTCAGTTGTTGGAATTCTCCTTCGGACAGTGCCTGTATTCGACCTGACTACATAGTTGGGATTCAAACTAGGCACCACAGTCGGGATCCAAACGTAGGACCTCCCGGTGAGAGGCACTGGAAATTCAGCAGCACTAAGCTAATGTCGGCCGGTCGAATCCCTGGGCGTTTCAGTTGATTCGTTACGAGAACACAGCTTCCCGTCTCCTATGCAACCCAGCGTCCGCCTGCTCCCTGGAGCGTGCGCGGCGTTGGGAGGCTTCGCCGCGTGACGTCACGTTGCGTGGGTGGCCTTGGGCCGCGGCGGCGGCGGCGTGGGCGCACCCGGCTTCAGCCGCGGGGCCCCATTTAAAGTCTGATTATTACATCCTAATTGGATCGGGACCCGAAGGCGGCTCTATGGCGCCGTTTAATTACCAGGGCTTTGCCCGCTTGGCGCAGCACCGCCAGCTCTCCTCTGCTCCGCCTCGCGAGCGCAAGCCCGGCCGCAAGTTTGCCGGCGGTTGCCACGGAGGAGGTGAGGCCGCGAGGCGGGGGTGGGGGGAGGGCTAGAGCAAGCAAGCGCAAGGCGATGGGCTATTTCAGCGTTGGAGCAAACGCTGAGAAGGCACATAGCTTTGCTTCTGTCAATATATCTTCGCTGAGCGCAAGATTCCTTGAGCTCTCCGTATACTTTCCTCCTTTATTACTACATCGTTGAAAGTAGTGTCACGCTGTTGCAAAATGAGCCGATTTTTGTGTTGAAAGACTCGTTTTCTGTGCCTTGGTTACAGAAAACTGAATAGTTCTTGCTCTTAGATGTAGTGAACTAATTACTCCAATACATTGTAATGCCATAATTCACGTTGTGCGGGTCCTTGATTGCGAATAATTTGTTTTAGACAAAAACCCCTTGTCTCTGTCAATAACGCTGGTGCGTAAACTGAACCTAGAATTTGCAGCAAACTGAGTATTCCGCAGTGACAGATGTCGCGTCCTCTTGAGTTTTAAATGGACATTTTCATTTTTGAGGGTAATTTATTTGAAGACTCATCGACATTTCCAAAAGTTTCTAAATATTTTTCCAAATGAGTTCTTTAAATTTTCTCCGCAAATTTAGTCTTCTGTTTAACAGAGCGGGTTCAATTTTTGTAGATTTTTTTTAATTTTTGAAAATTGCATAAGTTTGACTATATCAATTATAATTTTGAAAATAAACTTTTTACATATTAAAAAAATGTTGTTCAACCATAAATCTTTAAATATTATCACACATATAATATTTCCTTCCTCTTACTGGTCCTATTCTCTCCCCTTGCGTACACTTCCGCGGCGGCGATGGAGTAACGATGGTTTTAGCGTATCGGACTGTTATATCCTAGTCGAAGCTGTGGATTTTTAAGGGCGAAAAAATCCTTCGTACTCTTTCCTTCGGAGGGGAAGTAAAGCCGACTGTCCCATATCAGTAGATTTACTGCATGTAAAAGATCCTCAAGCTAAATTGAAGTCTAATTGAGAGCTAAATTCAAATCTCCTGTTTCATCGCCCAATAAATACCTCCTTTCTCCGCTAGTTGGTGAAAGGAGCGTTGCATGGTCAGACGGAAGAGCGGGCCTGGTGGCTCGAGTCTCACCACATAAAATAAGGCAGTGCAGTACGTGGGTGCAGTATTTTTCACGGACGTTCGCAGTGGAGACCATTGAAACAGGGCAAGGTATTTTCACTGACAGGAGTGTGCCTAAATTAGACGAACCTCTAACCTGGAACGAAGTAAATAGGGCTATTCTAACAATGAATAATAATAATAATAATAATAATAATAATAATAATAATAATAATAATAATAATAATAATAAGGCAAGTGGCGCGGACGGCATTCCGACAAAATTTATTTCGGAATTGTGGCACATAGACCCAGAAAGTATTGTGAAGTTATTTAATGCAATTGCTGATTCCGGCTCGTATCCAGAAACGTGGAATACAGCTATCCTCCGACCGATTTTTAAAAATAAAGGGGATGCGAATTGCCCAAAAAATTATCGCGGAATTAGTCTTTTGCCAGCGCTGAGCAAACTGCGATACAATGTTCAAATCGTTAGTTCTCCGCAGCTATGAACTATGGAGCAGAATCGCGGGACGTGGATAGGTAGATCGACTAGAAAGTATCGAAACAGCATGATTGCAAATTATTCTAGGCAGTTTCTAGATTGCGCAGCAAACTGCCGGCAGTCTTCAGAGCAGGTCGCGTAGTATAGGGGAATTTTGGAAGATTTTTAAAGTGAAACAACCTATTAAACTTTTGCGATATGACATTAGCAAGATGAACCAGATGACACACTTTAACATAGGTGACTTTAGAGTTGCAATGGCAGGGGAAGCGGACCATCGCTACTGGGCGTACAATATTAAGGCTTACTTGACCCGCAGGGTTGGGAGAGCCGTTCTCTTCTGAAATGGCTGGAGAGATAGCGAAACCCGTGAGATAGAAAGGGATGATTTCCGATTAGGACTCTGCGGATATTTAAAAACTCAAGAGATCTGGTCAGTAATTGGCTGAAAAACGTTCTCTTTGTAGCTTCATAATCCATGAGGAGTCCGTTATGGGCTTGCGAAAGTTACGTTCATACTCTCGAAAGGACGGCAGAGGCCGGGGATCACTTTTTGGCTCAGGGTTGGGGATGGAATGCAGCATAGCACTAAAAGCACGCAAGTGGTATGGCATCTGTTGCTTTGCGTTGATAGGAAGACTGGATTCCAACCTTCTTAATTTGCTGTATGCAATCGAATCATGGGGAAGAAAATGGGCATGGGAAACGGGATATTACTACTTCCTAAACAGGAAACGTACCCGCTCGCCCAAAATATTTAGGGAGATAAAAGCCGTCTAACTTTATGAAAGAATTAGGAACATGTGGTTTAGGAAAAGGTTCGGGCCATTAGGGAAACTGAATTAGGGTGTGGGAAAAAACAGCACCGGTTACTTTGAGCGGGCTTAGACGGAGAGAAATAAAATGAAGATCAGATAACGCCTAACAAATAAAGCTAAGTTAATCAGTAATTTTATGTTAAGTTAGTAAACAGCTTAAGAAAAAGTCATAAGTCGTAGTCAATTTGTAAATAACAGCCGTCAAATAATGAAATAAAAATAAAAACTGGAATTGAAATAAGCACATTTAGGGGTGAAGCGGAAGGGGGGCATCGAAATATAAGGCAGAGGCTTGGTGCGGACGTCTTTCTGTGCGCTATTTGATTTCAGCGGTGCTGAGGGAAGGCCCCAAAAAAAGGCACTGAAGAGACGCGGGACGCCCGCGCCAGAAAATAAATAGTTAAAATAAACGTCGGATAGATTAGTATGTATTCGGCTTCTGGACGGCAGGTTTTCCCCCTTCAGGCGGTTTTTTCTTGATCGATGGAACGAGATCAT